TTGAGAGATTTCCTACTCTCTAAGGGGTTCAAGATAGAAAAGGTTGACACCACTCTCTTCACCAAGAAGCTTGGCAATGACTTATTTGTGTTACAAATCTATGTTAATGATATCATATTTGGATCAACCAATCAAGATTTTTGTGAGGAGTTTGGAAAGATGATGGTAAGTGAGTTTGAGATGTTTATAATTAGAGAGCTTAGTTACTTTCTTGGTCTTCAAATTAAGAAAATGAAGAATGTCACTTTTGTGAGTCAAGGCAAGTACATCAAAGACATGCTCAAGAAGTTTGGAATGAATAATGCTAAAGCTATTAGTACACCAATGGGGATAAATGGAAACTTGGATAGTGATGCTAGTGGCAACATGGTGTATCAAAAAATGTATCGGTCTATGACTGAAAGCCTACTCTATGTGACCGCATCAAGGCCAAATATGATGTTTAGTGTATGAATGTGTGCTAGATTTCAAGCCTCACTAAGAGAAAGTTATTTGAAGGCAACAAAGAGAATATTGAGATACTTGAAGCATACACAAAATGTTGGATTGTGGTATCCCAAAGGAGCAAGATTTGAGTTGATTGGATATTTGGACTCCGATTATGCGGGATGCAAAGTTGAGAGGAAGAGCACATCGGGCACATGTCAATTATTAGGAAGATTACTTGTGTCTTGGTCGTTAAAGAAGCAAAATAGTATAGCATTTTCAACCGTCGAAGCAGATTACATTTCGGCCGGTAGTTGTTGTGCTCAATTACTTTAGATGAAGGCTACTTTGAGTGACTTTGAAATCAAATTCAAACAAGTGTCATTGCTATATGACAATGAGAGTGCAATCAAGCTCACCAATAATCCGATTCAACATGCGAGAACAAAGCACATTGATGTCTGCCACTATTTCATAAGAGATCACCAATAAAAAAGAGACATTTGCATTGAGAGTGTGGGCACCGATGATTAACTTGCCAATATCTTCGCCAAGCCACTTGATGAGAAGAGGTTTTGCAAGCTAAGGAATGAATTGAACATACTTGACTTCTCAAATATGTGTTGATGCACCCCCACTATATGGCATGCCTCTCCTTCGAGCAAAGCAAGGTAAAGTTGATTGACATGTCATTCATCCATTGCCAAGGACTTGTTTAGTGTATCTAATCATTTTTATCATGTCTTAGGCTCATTTATGAAAATTAAATGAATTTGATGCTTGTATGGTATCACTATTGCTTGTATGCTTGAAATGATCTAGTGATAGTATATGACATGTTTGTGGGCTTGTGAACCTAGTGTTCGATCTAAAAAAATAAGCTATAAATGTTTAACTCAACATGGTGCATGATAACCCTTATTTGGAGGTGTGAAAAAGCTTGCCCTTGGATCAAACCGAGTTAAATATCTTTTGCAAATGATCTAGATTGAACCAAATTTAGGAAAATGATCCTCAATTCACATGGTTTCACCCCAACTTATCTTAAATTTGAGCTCACCTTTTGTGCTAATTGTTGACAAAGGAGGTGAGAAATTCACAAAGATAGTAAGATAGGGGGAGCAAACAAATGAAATGACATGGTAAGGGGATCAATTAAAATTTGAAGTACACAAATAGGGGGAGCAAGATTATAAACTTGTATGTTGCAATTGTATGTGCATTACATATGTTTGCCTGCATAGTACAAGTTCTTAAATTCCCTATCCATGCTTGTGTGGTGTATGCTAGATTGTAGAAAATGATTGATGAAATAAAAACTAGTATGCATTGGAGAGCTAGATATACCTTTATCGTTTACAAGTGGTACTAGAACCTTGCTTCTAATGTTGATCTCACGAGGTATCTAGTTTGCCTTTGTTTTCAAGTGGTATCTAGCGAATCATGGTGCTAAGGATGGTCTTCAAATGGCAACCCTGACTGGTATCACGCTTCAAAAGTCCATTCTTTACACCTTAGCATCAAATGATAGATATTACTCTCCCAAACATCCAATCTATACATATGTGCAAGATTTCAAATCCAAACTCTTTGCACATATGTAAGAGGAGCTAATACTACCAATCTGGGTTGATAAAACTTATCCATAATCTTTACACATGGTAATATGCTTGGGCAAGCAACATGAATCCAAAAAGATTTCATTGAATATCTTTATAAATAGGTTGTCATCAATTACCAAAAAGAGAGATTAAAAGCCCTAGTTTGGTTTTGGATAATTGATGAAATCTAGCACTAACCTTTGTCATGAGTTGTGAGATGATCTAGGTTGGTGCAATCCAAGTATGGAGCATGGTGGCTCTCAAGAAAAGGTGATGCTCACATGAAATGTTGAGATGGCCACATGTGATGATATCAAGTGCTCAACTTGGAAAAGAATAAAGAGAAAAACAAAATCCTATGGAGCTCAAGGCAAAGGTATAAATAGGGACTTTGTTTCGGTGATCAAGACACTATATAGAGTGTGATCATATTTATGATAGATGGCCGTACTATTAATAGAGGTTCTTAACTAGACAATTCGGTCATCTAGTGCCACTAGGTGTTGTACTTCATGCATTGCATTTAGGCCTAGTGCACTTCGGAGAGCAAGCAAAAATATTTATGGAAAATTATTTGAGAAATGCTAACTTGACTCTAATATATTTTAAGAAAACACTTTGAGAGTTAGCATCGCTTGAGGGGAGTAGCTCAAGTTGACGTGGATCGAATCGCGCAAAAGTTTGCAACTCAGAAAGCTAGTGGTGGTGTCTGGGTGGCACCGCCACCCCCTGTCCGGTGGCACCGTCACCTCTAGGGCGGTGCTCACCTGGGCTCGACAGAGAAGGGCCGAGAGCAGCCAGTTTGGGGTGGTCATCGGACATGCCGGTGCACATCGTCATGGGCGCGGCGGTGCACCGCCTGGTCACCACCATGAGCTATCCAGTGCCACCGCCGTGTTTCACCCGAGAGCACCGAATGCAAGGGGGCACCGCCATGGTCACCGCCATGGGTGCGGCGGTGCACCACCCCTTTATCTAGAGAGCAGGGAAAACGGGGGGCTCGGCGGGGTGGTCACCGCCACCCTAGGGCGGTGCCACTGCCACCCTGTCCGGTGCCCCAACGGCTAGTTTGTGACCGTTAAAATTCGATCGTTGGGTAGGTCACCGCCATGTCCGGTGCCTGGCACCGCCATGTCTGGTGACCTCGGAGAAACAGCTCCAAGGGGTATAACAGCTCTATTTGCTTGTGTGGCTATAAATAGAGGGTGTGGCCGGCCTTGGCCACTCTCTTGACACTTCATATACTGGTGCACACCTTTTGAAAGTTGAGCAACACACTTCACTCACTTGTTCACTTGATTTCATCATTTTGATTGAGTTTGGAGAGCCTCTAGTGCATTGCATTGAGTTGCATCATCTTGTGGCACTAGTAGGATGATTTGGGATGGTTGTGAGCTTGTTACTCTTGGTGTTTACCGACACCTAGACGGTCCGGTGATTGGATGATCGTTGAGCGGAGTTGGTGATTGTCTCCGGCCTCGATCGGTTGCTTGCGAGGGGTCTTGTGCATTTTTCGGCGGACCGCCAAAGACAACTCTAGTAAATTGCTTGTGTCATTGAGCTACCTCACTTGTGGGTAGGTTCTTACGGCGTCCCTTGTGGTGGGTTAGGTGTGTGATACTTATTAGTAGCCGAACCACCAAGTGTTGATCGACACAACGGAGACTAACGTGCCGACAAGCACGTGAACCTCGGAAGAAAAATCTTGTGTCTTTTGTGTGATTGGATTTCTCTCGATGATTAGTCATCTTCATATTGTGATTGGTTCATTCCCCGATACAGCGGTATAATGATCCTACTCACTCCATTTACTTTTCCCAAACTAGTTGTAGAAGCTTTTTAGTGTAGGTAGAATTGAGAGCTTACTTTGTGGTTTAGTTTTATCTAGTAGAGCTCTTTAGTGTAGCTTTCTTGAGAGCTCTTAGTGAGTAGCAACATAGCCTTGTTGTGTGCCTAGTGATCATAGAAAATAGAATTATTGGGATATGTGGCTTACAACCCTTGTAGAGCTAGAGCAAAATTATATTACGTTATTTATTGTACTAATAAATTTATCTAATCAATTTATAGAGTTTTAAATAGGTTATTTATCCCGTCTAACCATGTCAAGATCTTTCAGTGCGGCAGGAGCGGATCGGTTCGCGTGGCCGTTCCCGTCCGGACGATCGTCATGTATCATTATCCGGGAGCAGCACACAATCCCACAAAACGCGGCGTGCGACCGTTCGGACGCCGCAACACAACATTTCCGAAAGAAAACAGGTGGAGTCTGGCTTCGCCGGTTCCTGTATAGGAGTTCGCGTGGACTGCCGTTCCGTCGTCTCGGGGAGGCGGTGGTGCCGGCAGCGCACTTGGTCAAGGAGGTGCAAATAAGCTCCGGTTTCTCGCACGGCGGCTGGTTGGTACTGTCGGGAGCGGAATCGGAGAAGGGGATGGGGAGTTCGTACTCATTCCTTTCCATCTGCGACGCCACATCGGAGTGCTCCTTGTGTGTTTTTCTCCAACGATGGCACTGGATCTGCATCAAGCTTGTTTTGGGGCGTTGCTCCGGCCGAATGTCTTTCATCGATGTTTTTGCCCTGTCTCTCGGGACAGGCTTCTATTGCGGCTTCTGTAGCCCGTTGTGGCGATTTGTGTCGATGCGAATTCGGGGGAGCTCATGGTGGCAGTCCCCTTCCTTTTGCTGTTGCTTGGGAGAAGCCAATGGCCAGCTTTCCTGTGATGCGTTGCCGGATGTGAGGAAGATGACACTGCTGGGCGTATTTGTAATTTTCCTTTTAGTTAAGGGTGTTGTGGTGTCGAGTTCTGTACTCCCGTGTACTGTTGTTGTCCTTATCTAAATGAAAGCAGATATCCCCTTTCAAAAAAAGAAAAGAAAAAGAAAACCGATGTGGATGATAAACCGTCAGCCCTTCTGCCTCTCCCTGTCGAGTGTCCAGCGTAATCCTCACTCCCGCGCAATCCCATCCCGCCATGGCAGTCTCCTCCCCGCCGCCTCCTCGCTTTCACCTCTCCCTCCACCTTCAAGACCCTACCCGGAACCCCTCGCCTGGTGGCAAAAGGACACGCCCCGCCCCGACAACCGAGACGCTCCGCCGCCGCCTCCTCCGCCGGGGCGTCTCGCCGACCCCCAAGATCCTCCACACCCTCCGCAAGAAGGAGGCGCTCAAGGCCCTCCGCCGCGCAAGGAAGGACACTGCCGCTGCCGCCGCATCCGCTGCTGCGTCACTCAATCCGTGCGACGAGGAGATTGGGGCGGAGGGCGAGGAGGAGACCCGCTTCCGTGCGGCCGAGGCGGAGTACCGCGCGCTCGTGGGGCGGCCCTGGGACGCCGGCGCCCGCAGCGTGGCGCCCCCGCGCGGTTGGGATGGGGAGGACGGCGGGCTCGAGGGCCTGAGGGAGATGCTCGTGGCGAGGAGGGGTGACGGGTTCCGTTGGCTACTGGACGACGACATCGAGGCGGAGGCAGTGGAGAGGAAGCAGCAGAAGCGTCCGGGCATTGGCTGGGATGTGGAGACCGAGGACGAGGAGAGGAGGATTCAGTTGCTCGTCAGCAGGTATTTCTGCTCTTGCCATTTCAGGCTTTCTCGGATCATACCCTGCTTATACATAATCACGATGCCAAGGACATGAGAGATTGGATAATTGGTTGAGCTGTATTTAGAATCGAAATTATTGTGAATGCTTGCATTGCGGTACAATGATAGTTGATAGGCATAAAATATCATATTATTAATAGTGATAAAACTGGAGAAGGGATTGAACACTGACCTTTGAAGAAATATGTGAAAGGAATACTCCTTCATTAAATTCAAGCCCCTCTTAGATTTGTGAATTCAACTTATAATTAGAATAGTGTATGGCTGTATGCCAAACTATATCGATAGTCCACAAAAAAAAAGTTGCATTAGACATCTTTTCCTGTCGAAATAGTTTTTTCTAGTGTGTTACTATAAATAATTTGTTTATGGCTTGCTTCGAAGCTTCTAAAGAGTGAAAGAACTATAGCTTATTTTGTGAAGTTGGAAAATTAGTTCCAAAGAAAGAACATTTTGCTCCATGAAGCAGTCATATAAGGGGAAGTGGTTAGTTTACTGTTTGCATAGGTAAGAAGCTTTCATATCATAGGTGTTTACATATGTTCTTGTGAGATTCGAATTTTTATGTTTTTATTGATTTTTTTCTGTGCCTTGTCTAGTTTCAGTTGAGTAAATTGTTTTGTTGTGTGCATGATTCTATACAATCAGAAATAATAACAATGATGATACGTTATTGAATACACAAACTTTTCCCATTAGGTTAAACGGAGATTATCTAAGTTTTCGTGATTGGAGGCTTACTAGAGTGATGAAAAAGGCTGACATCATATATAGTGAAGATAATCTACTAAGAATACTAGATGGGCTTGAGGCTCTAGGAAACTGGAGGCAGGCTTTAGCTGTTATTGAGTGGGTCTACAATGAAAACAGCTACAGGCATCGGAAAAGCAGGTAGGTTTTTTCTTCTCATTTTTCGCTGCTGCTTCCCTGCCACTGTGAGTAGCATATTTTGACAAAAAAAAGATCCTGTACATTGATACTTCCCATAAGTAATAGATTTTTCCTATCTAGGTTTGTGTATACAAAATTACTCTCAATCCTTGGGAAATCATTAAGGGCAACTGAAGCACTTCGAGTTTTCACCATCATGCGGGTATAGTCCTTTTTCGGTACAATTAAAATAAACAGTCAACTTGTTTGTACAGAAAATAGAAAAGCTAATGGCTTAACATTTTATTTTTGGTCCATAATTTACATCAGGGAGATGCTCAAATATACCCTGATATGCCTGCATACCATAGTATTGCTGTTACGCTTGGTCGAGCTGGTTTTCTGAAGGAGTTAATCAAGATCATTGAGTATATGAGACAGAAGCCCTCAAAGCGAGTAATGACGATGCGGCGCAAGGATTGGGATCCTTCATTGGAGCCTGATGTACTTGTTTATAACTCGGTGAGGATTCCCTCTTACCCTTTTCTTTTTTTCTTTTTACCTAATTCCCTCTTTTCAGTTATATTTTTCTTAAAATATGTTTGTCTTGTCCCTTGATGTTGTAGGTGCTTAATGCCTGTGTTCTATCACAGCAATGGAAAGGGGTATTTTGGGTGTTCCAGCAAATGAGAATTAGTGGTTTACCACCAACAGGAGCAACCTTTGGGTTGGCCATGGAAGTAAGTTTTATTTTTTATATAATTTGGAAACGTTGTACCATTGCTTGTTATCTCATATGGTGGTACATTCAGAACAGTTTTCCTCAATATTGCTAACGCTGTATCTGGCCCAGTAAAGGCTACTCTCTAGCAAAACAGCTAACCAAGTCGAACTAATTCAAGGGGGTTTACTCTTAGAGCTTAGTTAATATTGTCATGTGTTTCCCTCGCAAAAAGGAGGGTCATGTGTTGTGGTGACTTACATTACTAATTAAAACTACTGTTTGAAGGTTATGCTGAAAGCCAAGAAGTATGACTTTGTCCAGAAGTTCTATGAGAAGATGCAGAAAAATGGTGTACCTCCAAGGGCAATAACTTACAAAGGTAATACTCCCTCTGTTCTACAGTGTAGGTTGTTTTAGTTTTGTCCTAAATCAAACTTCTCTAACATTGACTAAGTTTATAGCAAAATATATTGACATCTACAATACCAAATAAATGCACTCTCAAGACATTTAATGCTGGATTTGATGACACTGTTGATGATGTAGATGTTGGTGTGTTTTGCTACAAGGCTGGTCAAACTTAGAGAAGTTTCACTCAGGATAAAAACTAAAACAACCTATATTTTTTAACGGAACGAGTATTATGTACCGTGTACGCATAATGAGCTATGATTTTTTACATTGAAACTGATACAGAGAATAACTGTTTTCCATGCAGTGCTTGTAAGAGCTTTCTGGGAGCAGGGTAAAATTAATGAAGCTGTTGAAGCAGTCAATGACATGGAACAAAGAGGAGTTGTTGGAGCAGCAAGTGTTTACTATGAATTGGCTTGCTGTCTCTGCAATAATGGAAGGTGGAGAGATGCTATGTTACAGGTTTGTAGCTGCTATATGCAACACATACTGCACTTTCATTTGTCAGACTTTGCATTAAGCATCTCTGTTTTTCAAGAGCTATATAATTTTCTTGGTCAATATTTATTTCGTGAACCATTATTTTGTCCATATAGAAGTCTGGCAAGGGCAAATTTAATTATTAGTAATTTCAGTGTGAAAAGGAAGTCCAGTTTGGTCCTTCAACTTTTATCCAAATCTATTGACATTAAAGTCATTAAGTCTTATTTTTCTGCAATGTAAATACCATATTAAATAGCCCCTGTGTGCAACTTAATTTTTTTTCTGTACCTTCCTACATGGCTGCGTAGTTGGTTTTCTGGCAGTACAAGCTAAGATGGATTCACCTTTGGTCTCCTCTTCCCTCTTTGTTTTCTTCGTTCCCATCTTTCAAGCAGCTAGCAGGGTAGAGATGTGTGTTGGTTACTTGTCATCAATGCTAAGTTCCTCCCAGTTTCCCCATCTTTCTTCTGTGCATGTTCTCTATGTATGCTGCGGGTGTGTGCATTTGTAATGCGGATATGCATAGAACCTTTGGTATTAGATGTGTGCATCGTACTGATGCCCTCCTTGGCAGGAGTATAGACACTCCTTGGTGCAAATATGGTCGCACACAGTGCCTGATCAAACAATCATATCCTCCCACCAATGTCAGAAAGAGAGGAAACTTAGGAACGGTACTGATAGATGGGTTCATCATTTCAAATAATTTATTGCAAGCTTTAGGATACTGGTCAGTAGCTGTACACAATAAATTTTAATGTTATGTTTAGGCACAGGAGTTTATCTACACTCATTTGGACACTTGGAAGATGATTCTTCTTATTTCAAACTTCTATGTCCTCATTGGGACATGGCTAGCCTTGTCATGTATCAAGGTCACTAATCTTATGGAAAATAGTTAACATGGTTATTTGCCACTTACCAAGTTCAGTGTTTAGCTTTAAAGAGACAATGCAGTATGACTTTGCACCACTCGTGCTACATGTTCCTTAGTAATGTCAAACTTATCTTGTAGCATTTAATTATTCTTATTATGGTTTGACAGTTTGCCTCCATTAGATTCTCTTAAAAGTTTTTTGTCATGGAGTTATCAAGTTGCCCAATTTTGTACCCTTTTATTTGCACAGACAACAACAACAACAAAGCCTTTAAGTCTCAAACAAGTTGGGGTAGGCTAGAGTTGAAACCCAGCAGAAGCAATCAAGGTCCAGACACGTGAATAGCTGTCTTCCAAGCACTCCTATCTAAGGCTAAGTCTTTGGGTATATTCCATCCTTTCAAGTCTCCTTTTATTGCCTCTACCCAAGTCAACTTCGGTCTTCCTCTGCCTCTTTTCACGTTACTATCCTGGCTTAGGATTCCACTATGCACCAGTGCCTCTGGAGGTCTCCGTTGGACATGTCCAAACCATCTCAACCGGTGTTGGACAAGCTTTTCTTCAATTGGTGCTACTTCTAATCTATTACGTATATCATCGTTTCGAACTCGATCCCTTCTTGTATAACCGCAAATCCAACGCAACATACGTATTTCCGCGACACTTATCTGTTGAACATGTCGTCTTTTCGTAGGCCAACATTCTGCACCATACAACATAGTAGGTCTAATCGTCGTCCTATAAAACTTGCATTTTAGCTTCTGTGGTACCCTTTTGTCACATAGGGCACCAGATGCTTGCCGTCACTTCATTCACCCTGCTTTGATTCTATGGCTAACATCTTCATCAATATCCCCATCTCTCTGTAGCATTGATCCTAAATATCGAAAGGTATCCTTCCTATGCACTACTTGACCTTCCAAACTAATATCTTACTCCTCCCGAGTAGTGTCGAAGTCACATCTCATATACTCAGTTTTAGTTCTACCGAGTCTAAAACCTTTGGACTCCAAAGTCTCCCACCATAACTCCAGTTTCTGATTCACTCCTGTCCGGCTTTCATCAACTAGCACTACATCGTCCGCGAAAAGCATACACCAATGGATGTCCCCTTATATGTCCCTTGTGACCTCATCCATCACTAAGGCAAACAAATAAGGGCTCAAAGCTGACCCTTGATGTAGTCCTATCTTAATCGGAAAGTCATCCGTGTCTCCATCACTTGTTCAAACTCTAGTCGCAACATTGTTGTATATGTCCTTAATGAGCCCGACGTACTTCGTTGGGACTTTATGTTTGTCCAAAGCCCACCACATAACATTCCTTGGTATTTTATCATAAGCATTCTCCAAGTCAATAAAAACCATGTGTAGTTCCGTCTTCTCCCTATACCGCTCCATAACTTGTCTTATTAAGAAAATGGCTTCCATGGTTGACCTTCCGGGCATGAAACCAAATTGGTTCATAAAGACCCGCGTTATTGCTCTCAAGCGATGCTCGATAACTCTCTCCCATAGCTTCATAGTATGGCTCATCAACTTAATTCCCCGGTAATTAGTACAACTTTGAATATCCCCTTTATTCTTGTAGATCGGTACCAATATACTTCTCCTCCACTCATCAGGCATCTTGTTCGATCGAAAAATATGGTTGAACAGCTTGGTTAGCCATACTATAGCTATGTCCCCGAGACATCTCCACACCTCGATTGGGATACCATCCGGTTCCATCGCCTTACCTCCTTTCATCCTTTTCAACGCCTCTCTGACCTCAGATTCTTGGATTCTCCGCACAAAGCGCTTATTGGTGTCATCAAAAGAGTCATTCAACTGAAAGGTTGTGTCCGTATTCTCACCATTGAACAATTTGTCAAAATACTCTTGTCATCGATGTCGTATCTCATGCTTATTCACCAAGAGATGCTCCATTTCATTCTTAATGCACTTAACTTGGTTGCAGTCCCTTGTCTTTCTCTCACGAACCCTAGCCATCCTATAAATGTCCTTCTCTCCTTCCTTCGTACTCAAACGTTGGTAAAGATCCTCGTACGCTCTACCCTTTGCCACACTTACAGCTCGTTTTGCAGTCTTCTTTGTCACTTTGTACTTCTCTATGTTATCCACACTCCTGTCATGGTACAAGCGTCTATAGCATTCTTTCTTCTCCTTAATAGCCCTTTGGACTTCCTCGTTCCACCACCAAGTATCTTTAGCCTCGCCTCCACTTCCTTTGGTTACTCCACACACCTCTGAGGCCGCCTTCCGAATGTTGGTTGCCATCTTCTCCCACATGTTGTTTATGTCATCTTTTTCCTTCCAAGAGCCCTCTTTGATAACCCTTTCCCTGAATACCTCTGACGTCTTCCCTTTTAGTTTTCACCACTTTGTTCTTTCAATCTTTAGCTTGTTTATCCCTACGGGCACGCACCTGAAAACGAAAGTCTGCCACCAAAAGCTTATGTTGAGAAACAACACACTCCCCTGGTATCACCTTGCAACCCAAGCATGCTCGTTTGTCCTTTCTTCTTGTGAGGACAAAGTTAATCTGGCTAGAGTGTTGTCCGCTACTGAAGATCACTAGATGAGATTCTCTCTTTCTAAAGAAAGTGTTGGTTATCATCAGGTCAAAAGCTACCGCGAAGTCCAGAACTTCCTCCCCCTCCTGATTCCTACTACCATACCCAAAACCTCCATGAATCGCCTCGAAACCTGCGCTTGTAGTACCTACATGCCCATTAAGATCTCCTCCTATAAAAAGCTTCTCACTACTAGGTACAACTCTAATCAGGCCATCTAAGTCTTCCCAGAACTGTCTCTTAGCACTCTCGTCGAGGCCTACTTGGTGGCATACGCACTAATTATGTTCAAGACCATATCACCAATGACAAGCTTGACTAAGATAATCCTATCTCCTTGCCTTCTCACTCCCACCACACTATTCTTGAGGCTCTTATCAATCAAAACTCCTACTCCATTTCTATTCGCAACTGTCCCTGTGTATCAAAGCTTGAAACCTGTACTGTCCACCTCCTTCGCCTTCTGACCCTTCCATTTAGTCTCTTGAACGCATAATATATTTACACGCCTCCTAGTCGCGGTATCAACTAATTCTCTTAACTTACCTGTAAGCGACCCTACATTCTAACTACCTAAACGGATCCTAGTTGGTTCGACTAGCTTCCTTACCCTTCGCACCCGTCGACTCAGATGTGAAGATCCTTGCTCATTTTTCATTACACCCGGGCGCCGATGTAGCGCGCCACTAAGGATGCGACGACCCGATCCTTGCTCACTTGACATCGTGCCCAGATCACGACACGGCGCGTCACGGGGGTGACGACCCGGCCCTTGCTCATTTAACACCATACCCGGGTTCTGATATGGCGCGTCGCTAAGAGGGTTACGCCTCAACGGTTTTCTTTCGGGTTTCATCTCCATTAGAATGGCTAGATTTAACGTTGGCTCGCCACGCCTATCACAACCCTCCTCCTTTACCAGGGCTTGGGATCTGCTATGTTGAGACAACATAGGCGGAGGTTTTTATTTGCACAGTCAACATAACAATATTTTACTATGGCAATGTCCACATCACACTTTTATCACCAGGTAAAGTCCCCTTTATAGGAAAGTAATAAGGAACCTAAACATACAAAGCATGTTTATTAAGATATGTTTTTTCGTTCAGGTTGAGAAGCTGAAACAGCTTCCCCTCACGAAACCACTGGAATATACATTTACTGGAATGATCTTAGCCTCATTTAATGGTGGATATATCTACGATTGTATCTCAATATTTGAGTCAATGAAGGGCCACTGCACACCAAATATTGGGACTGTGAATGTTATGTTAAAAGTTTATGGACGTTGTGATATGTTTGGGAAGGCAAAGGACTTGTTTGAAACCACCAAGGCTTGTTTCTCAAATTCTCAGACATATATCCATGAACATTCGTCACTTAAAGCAGACACATATACATACAGCTCTATGCTTGAAGCATCTGCCTCTGCCCAACAGTGGGAGTTCTTCGAATATGTGTATAGAGAGATGACTCTGTCTCATCACTGCCTAGATCAAAGCAAATATTCATGGTTGCTCATCAAGGCATGTAGAGCTGGAAAGGTAATAGCTGTAACTTATAGTCTACAAATGAATACATGATTTATTTCAACTCTTATTGAAGTATACCATTTTAAAACCAAATAATTGTCATTTCAATCCTTGTTTATCGTCCCTTTTATTTGTTTTTTGTGGGCCGCAAGCGCAAGCTATGTAAGTGTGTGTGGTGGTGGTGGTGTGTGTGTGTGTGTGTGGTGTTCTTCTTAATGCAATGATACACAGCTCTCCTGTGTATTCGAGAAACAAAAAAATTTCTTACTCATATCTGTTTTATGTGCACTGAAAACTTTTTGGCCATCTTTACACTTTTGTGTAGTTCAATTGAAAGGACCATGTTAAATACCTACAATTTCATGCCAGATGTAGTTGTGGAATTTTTTATTCCAAGAGTGGCCTAAACAGGAATTCTTTTTTAAAAGAAATTATTTATTCTCTTTATGATTTATGTGCAGTCAAATTTGCTGGAGCATGCGATTGACTCGATACTTGAAAGAGGAGAGATCCCTGATGTACAGCTGATTACTGAATTGATATGCCAGTCTATTGCTCATAGAGATTATGGAAGGACGCTGCAGCTCTTGAATATTTTGACTGAGGCTTCAATAAAAATGAAAGAAGTTGAGTGGGTTTACCTACTACAGAAAAATGTGTATCAATTCAACATTGATGCCCTTGAGGGCCTTATAAAGTACCTCAGTACTAGTGGTACTATCAATGCTGATCCTGCACTCGGTTTAGTAAGAGCACTGGAGTCCCAATGCGGGATAACTTTAGTGAAGGGCACATATTTGCTAACAGATGATACCAGTACTCAACAGTGTGAACTCTCTTTGCTTGAGAGTGAAGACAAATATGCAAGTAGCGGTCTGGCAGAACAAGATCAGCTCACCTGCAAGAACTTGTGCACTGATATAATTCTTGACGTCCCTGATTCTGATAGAGAGATCCCTCAGTTAGGTGTCAGTGCTGTCATGAGCAGGAACATCTCATTAAGCAGTCAACGATTGGAAGACAAACATGAGCATTCTGATCTTGGGCAGCGGGGTCCACAGGTATCTGCAATTGACGAAGTACTTGATTCCATGAATTCTTATGGTGTCAATTCGTATGGAGAGATGCCATCAGCATCAGAAATTCTTGAGTTATGGGAGCAGGAAAGGATAAATGGGATGTTTGCTCCAAAAACAGAAAGCAGAACCACTCTTATTAGAGGATAAATGAAATGCTGGCAGATATTATTTCATATGGGGCTATGGGCAGTGCAATTCTTGCATAAATTACTGACAGCTGCTGGAAATTTGAAGGCCCCAGCTGCAATCGTATTGCCTAAATCATCAACAGGAGGCTCTTATTTGTGTGATCACAACATATCTCGTTTTGGATGGTCCATACTATGCAAAAGCAGGGAATGTATAGATATGTAGTTGTGAATTCACCCAACCAATGTTGCAGAAACACTAACTTATGCTCAAGAACAGCAATTTAAAGCTGGGTTCGTCCACTTGAGCAGTTAGCTCAGGTTAATAATCAAAATTTCTACGCCACTTTTCTTTTTACTGCCCTGGTATGTGATACGGCGCCGGCGGTGTGGTGAACGGAGGGGAGAGTGGAGAATGAGGCTGGATTGAGAATTGAAACGCAGAGGATAGCGAGGAACCTTGGCGGTGGAATCTTCTCCGGTGGTAGCGGCTGAAGCGCTCGATGCCACCGTCGAAGGGAAACTCCCATCCCGATACAGGGAGAGTTTATTCCTTCTTCGATATCTCCTGATTACAATCTAGATGCCCCTTTAAAGAACAGAGACATCTCCTAACAAATTAACCAAATCTCCTAAAATCTCTCCCTGGCCCTTACTTTCCTAACAAACCGCGCCTTAGCCACAGTTGGACTCTTTGGACTCTCGTGGACACCTAGGCCAGCGCCTATACTGGCGGCCAATGAAGGAGCCCACAACAGTATGGAACTTATCCTTTTCCCAAAAGAGGGATTTAATCTAAGACAAGAATCCAAGACCATATACTAAGACAAAGCAATATAGATTCCTGCAGAATTTGACGATGGAACATAGGTCAAAATTTGTTCAGTACAGAGCCCTGATACTGGGGACCTCATGGTGGCGACAGAATGTGGGTCCTGTCTAAATTTGATGTGTCTGTGGATTTGTTCAATAGTCAGAGATCAAAGGAGATTGCGCTAATGCTCAACGGTGACGATGAAGATTCCTGCAGCGTACCAGATCTCCATGAGTTAATGGGCTCTTGGTTCAGTAGCTTGCGTAATCATCTGAAAAATGTGAAGTTGCATTTTGAGTTGGAAGAGCTGAATAGCTTTGAGGTTTCTCTAGCCAAGTTATTTGCAGAAAATTGCAAGGTCCTTGAAGTGCTCCATGTCGAAGATGGAGGCCAGAACTTTATAAGTCATTAACCACAAGCAGTGGCGGAGCTAGAGCAAATCTGAGATGGGTGCGTTTGTCTTTGTGGGTGCGATGGTTTGTAATGTGTGGGTGCATATATGGTTGAAATCTGGGTCTTATCACTGTTTTTCAATTTTTTTTTTGTGCACCGGCACCCACTAAGTTCAGTGTAGCTCCACTCCTGACCACAAGGTCGAGAGATGGGAGGATTAATGTGTTAAGTGATGGTAAACGTCTTCGGGTAAGGCATCCTCCCTATGTCTAAACCAAAAATAGCTCTATGTTTTTTTTTATGAAAAGCTCTAATACAATATGTTGAAGGCTGAATGTTGGATTTGTGCAGCAAAACTTCAACAAACAGTTTACAGTGTACTCATTTATTGCTTAAAACAATTAATCACATGTACCATTGATCCTCGTATGTCTATTGAATTATTGATACATGAAACGCGATACATGGCCGTCGTGCTTAAGACCTATTTTTCATCTATTGCCATACATATATAAGATGAAATAGAAATAGAAACTTTAGTTCTTCCGCTGGACTCTAACACAGATTGGCTAGGGGAGGTGCGCCCCGTATTGAATATGTATCCGATACGGATCCTATAAGAGTAGATTTCACAAGTGGTCTTTAAATTTATTGCGTGTTCTCAAATTGGTCTCTTACTTTCGGTACTCGTAATTTACATTTTTAGTATTCTAAAGCCAGTCTCAATGGGGATTTCATAAAGTTTTATGGGCATTAAATACGCTGACATGGCACTGTCTTGACGAAGAGAGAGAAGATAAAAGTTTCATGGGAGTAGAGAGAGTTTCATGGGGATGAAACTCTTCTGCACTGTTTCCAAAATATGGGTGTCTTATAAACTGGGAGATGAAACCCCCACTGAGACTGAACCCCCACTGAAACTGGTCTAAGGGCACTTTCAATATAGACTCTATCATAATTTCTATGATCATTAATTATCTTTCTATTTATTATATTTTGCTGATAGCACACTATTTATCGAAGAAAAAGAGCCAAAACTCGAGAAACGAGTCTAACGTAGACTTGATGTCTACGCTTCAATCGATGCGCAGGAAACCACGGTCGTCCGCGTTGGGGGAAGACCAACGAGCCTCCGAGATCCCGTGCGCCTTCCTCCCATCGCCGCCACCGTGCGCTCGCGCCCTCTTTCACAGAGGTTCGCCGCCGCCGGCGGCGGCGAATTTTCTGCAGCCGCGTGCTTGTTCCGCAGCCGCCTGCCGCAAAACTTCTTCCCTCTCCTGCTGAGACCCATCGAGATCTCCCTCCACAGCGAGCTGGCTCCAATTCAAGGTAAGCACCCAAATCTCCCGTGGCCCTAGCCTCTCCATCTGATCTCCTCCCCAACATTCTTTAACCTAAATCTCCCATGACCAAGATGGAAATTGATGTCAGCTTGTACTGCTAGTGTCATCGCTGTGTGCTTGTAGATGGAAATTGATTATACGTGCTGCTGGAATTGTTTATTTAACTGTTGGGAATTGTCATATATGTATTGTTAGTGTTCCTAAGGCATGAACTCTGTATAGTTGGGCATTGTTTATTTAATCGTTAGGAATTGTTAACTGAGGAATATTTAATTGCATATGTGTAGACTACAAGTAACTAAATCTGCAGACTACTCATATTTCTATAAGGTAACTACTCATATGTACAGACTGCTGTTTCCAGTCTTCAGTAACCGATTCTTTTTAATTTCTGTGATGCAAGTGTGAAACTGATGTGCATTATTTTTGCATGCAAGTTTGAAACTGATGTGCATTATTTTTTGCATGCAAGTCTGAACTTGTTAAGCACAGCCACGGCAAGTGTGAACTCCTTCCACTAATTCTTTTTGCATCGATCCTACTGATCTGTACTCTTTCTGTTACCGCAGCTGTAGTCCATGCATGAAGATGGCAGCATCGATCCTACTGATCTGTACTCCATGGATAACTATCTTCAAGAGCAAGAAATTATAGATGATTTAGGCGATCATCTAGTAGCTAAAATGCAGTCCCTTGTTGATGATTTACAAGGTGCAAGAACTCAGCGTGGTCCTAGGCGATATGTGGACAGACCTCGTGAACAAGCCAGCCAGCAACTAATGGATGACTACTTCTCGCCTAACAGTTTACAATGAAACACATTTTCATAGAAGATTTAGGATGAGGAGACCCCTCTTTCTGAAGATTGTTGAGGCCTCGAGTGGGTGTGGTCTGAGTATTTCACCTTACGTCCGGATGCTCTGAATATTGTCTTCAGTTGATTTACTAGTAGCATACAAGTCAGTTACATTTTTTTGCATGCAAGTGTGAAACTGAAGTGCATTCCATGATGTGGTGATCTACTTTTCAAATACAGTGCATCAAGAAAGGCTACACGATGTTTGACACAGCTGATCCTTGTTTGTTTGTGTTGCATATAAGTGTTCATTAAATTTCTTTTTACATGGAAACTACTTGGACAATCTTGTATTGGGAATGATAGTTTTAGTGGTAGAGTCTTGGAGCTATGAAAATTATGCTGGTTTCTAGTATTGGGAATGCCTAAGGGCACTTATGACGCATGTTTCCTGGCCGTCGTCTGGCGAGGCGCCGGCTGTGGCTCGTGCTCCGACGCTCATATTCTCGGCTGTGGCTCGTGCTCCGACGCTCATATTCTCGGCTGTGGCTCGTGCTCCGACGCTCATATTCTCGTTGTACAGATCCAGTGTGCGCACGCTATGGCCAGTGAATGGTGTTGCGAGCCATGACAAGCTAAAATCCACCCATGGCAAGCTGATAATCTTCCGTTGCGCACCTGCTGGTTGCCGTGCCATCCCATCAATCAAATCATCGTCAAATTGAAATGCCTGTAGACTCTCAAATAAAAATAAATACTCTTGTTTGTACTTGATCAACAAACTTGTTATCCAGTTCACTAAATATAAAATAGAATCTCTCAAACTTTATTTTTGCTTCAGGAGCAGAAAAGTTTATATTATGTATACTATATTATTTATTTTGATAGTTCTAAAATATTGTATTATGTTTATATGTTTATCTTATTGATGCTTGATTTATTTTGTATCAAGAAGCAACACAATAATATACATGAATTATATTCATGTTTGATCATGGTTATATGTAAGTACTAAAAAGTTTGTAGACACCTAAATAAATAGCCTATTGTATAAGTTGTTTATTAAGTTGTCTATTATATATAAATATATTAATATATCATTTATATTCATGGTTTTTTAAAAAATATTGCAACCATGATCACCTTATTTATGTCTGATCTTTTTTATCAACAAGCATCACAATGGTATACACGAATCATATTTACACTTAATCATAGCTACATGTAAATATTAAAAAATTAATAGACAGCCAAATAGACAACCTATTATACGTGTTGTCTGTTTAGCTTGTTGTGATATCATCCTACAGACACCATGCTATCAGTGTACATGCCCTAAACTTAGTTTGTCGTATCAATAGGTCCATCATTCCATGTCTCTGTGCCCCTTGACGCTGCTTGTACCCGTTTCTAGTGAAAGCATTTACATATAGCCCCCTACAAATGCATGTGTCACGTGTACAACAATTTGGTCCTTCTCGCTCTCTATCCTCTCTCTCATCTATCTATCGTGCACACATCCCCCAACAATTGCCATGGCTTTCAAGCTCAGGGAGTTCTTCACTGCAGCAGCGCAAGGGCCACATGCCCACATCTCTAGTTGATCCTGTGCACGGACTGCAGATGGAGGACAGTGATGGAGTTGACATCCGATCCCGGACCCCCTGACAACCCAAATAAGGTGTTCTTCACTTGCCCATATCAAAAGGTTAGGGTCGATTTCTTGATTTGGTTTCGAAATTGGTTTAGAGTTTGACGGGTTATAGTTACCACTTTCTCGTAGGGGCAAAAGTACGTGGCTGCGATTTACTGATTTCTATATGTGGGGCGAAGATTATGTGAAATATTTGAAGGGCAAACATGGCTTTAGGTCTGAGATTGGGGAACAAGGAGGTGACGATTGCATGGAGGTGGATCGAGGCCAACAGGTTGCCATGCCCGCAACAGTTATTGAAGAGGAAGAAGACGGGACATTAGGGCTTGTATGGAGTTGTTTCATCCACAAAATAGGTGGCCAATTACTCCATCACTTATGGAACTGGCCTTGTATTGCCCTGGCCTTCTTCCTTGTCCCCTTGGGCTTTGTTGTTGTCTTGCGCTTGTTGCCGTCTTATCTCTGATGAAGGGTCATCAGTGATGTGTTTTTACACGTTATTGATGTGTTGACATAAGAGATGACGTAATATAAGTGATGTATTTTTCCAGTGTCTCTGATGACTGTTTAACCATGTCTCTAAGAATCTGCAGCTCTGAGATAGTGTGCCTACAAATGTTGAATTATAATAAAATTCCAACTATTACGACAGAAATGAAATGCCACAGAAAGCTAGTTGTAGTGTGGAATCAAGCTGCCATCTTTGAAATCTATTGGCCGGGGCTTGATTGCTCCTGGTGATGTCAAACGGGGGCTCCCAAAGGAGTGTCTACATTTAAAGCTCACAATTTAAAGCTCCGATCCCACGCATTTGCACCGCACATTTGCTGAAGTCCTCTCCGTTCAAATTCGGAAGTCTACAATTCAGCGAACAGCTCTGTGGCGAAATACCGACGAAGCAGGAGTAACCTCTGCTACAAGATTTGAACCAGCCCAAATAATATCCTAAAGGTCCACTCAAACTCACACATGCATGGTATGGTAGGAGACTTTAGTCCCACGTTGCTAGTGAAGTCAATTTAAATAGTTGAGTTGTGTCCAACTAGTAGGAGTTATTGGGGAGAGGAAAAAAAAAAGAAATACGCGCGCCCGCCTCGCCGGGCAGGCCGATGGGCGTGGGTGCATGATGTGCACGTGAATCGTCCAGCGTTTTCTTGCTTTGACCTTGCGGGTGCGCGACTTCCTTTGCCATTCAAAGTTTTTGCATGCATGGAGAAAATTGCACTCATCATCAATTATCAATTACCTTAATGCTTTGATTACGCGGCTAATTACTTACCATAGCTGCGACGTGTGTAGATATTGGAACGAGACGTCGTCCTCAATACAGTCTATTCATCTCCTCCTTGTGCCACAGTGTTGTGCCGCCTCCGTCTTTCCTAACACCTGCCGATGTGTCATCGGCGCCGGGAGAGCAGGTTTCCGAAGCCTACGTCTCCTCGTGTCCTTGCACGGAGTAGGGGCCATATCAGTTTTTTAGGAAACGTTGTCGCGACTGCTCGCCGAATGTCTTCTTCCCTTTACGCTGGTGTTCGCGGGTCTTCATCGACAGTCTGCTTCATCTACTTTTCGCTATCTCTAGTGCTAACAACCCCACTATAAGAATGTTTATACTTTCTCTGTTGTTTGTTCTCCCATTCCTTCTGTTACTAGCTAGCGCTACGAAGTTTGAATTTGCCTCAGGTCATAGTGCTAGTGTCCTTAGTTAATGATCTACTAAAATATATATATGAGATAGGTTTAACTTTGTTGAATTGCACTATATGGTACACATGCTGCTGTTTTTTTCGGTATTGAAATTAATTTTTTTCGTCACTAAATTGTTATTATTTCAAACAACCTCGTCAACGTTGCTATCAAAGCCCCGTTCGCTGGTCGATCTGAAACTTGGCTGAAACTGGCTGAAAATACTGTTCCGACTGAATTGTTGTGAGAGAAAAATACTGTTCCGGCTGAAAAAAGAAGCCAAACAAACCAAATATGGGGTAAGCCGAACAGGTAGGACTGTCATGCACAGTCACATCATGACTGGGACGGAACGAAGGAGTTCCACCGTTCTTCACATGGGCCTGTTCGCTTGAACTTATCAGCCGGCTTATCAGCTAGAATCTACAGTATTTTTCTCTCACAACAAAACAGTTTCAGCCGGCTTTAATATCAGCCGAACTTGCCCTTAACGAATTCCGTGGAGTATAAATATCATGTTTTAAATTTCCACCACGCAAACGGATATCCCATTTCAACTTCTAGAAGCACATGTGCAGCGACATATCAAACGTTTTATTTTTTCCACAGACTGCAGATGATGTACACGTAAGAACTAGGATGTGTCTTTTGGATGGACACTAGATTGTTTTTTCTTTTCTTTTTTTCGAGATAGTAGTACAGTGCAAATTCATTAGTATATACTATATAGTATACATACATATATTCTAAAACACTTCAATTGCTTCAATATTCAATACACTGCTTCTGTGCACCCACTTCAAGAGTCTTTCTTAAACTCACTCTGTAAATTATCATTTAGGAAATTGTTTGAATAAAATTTGTTTTCTATATTTTTTCACCCTCTAACAACTTTGTTATATCTTGTACGTACTTTACAGAGTAAGTCATCTCTCTATTTTTGGCTAGCGAAAAATCCAGATATAGGATGACTATATTTAAAAATCTTTAAAGAAATTATTGGGAGGTTTTTTTTATTGAAATGTCTATTCCTATTATAATTAGAAAATATATAAATAGTCTCTTAGAGTTGCAAAATGCCCTCTGTAGCCCTAAAATTGTTTAAATTTGCACATGTGGCATCCTAGCTTGTAGGCGCGGGAGAATACACTGGTTTCCAAGTCCAAAGCAAGACATTTAACAGCAATTGCATCAAGACAAAATGAAAGGTTTATCAACTCATGTTCAGTTCTTCAATCAGATAGCCACGCAGGAAAAGGGGCTGAAGTAACTCAACACTATTTACAGCATGATGAAATGAACCGTACAAGAGAACCATGCAAGGCATCAAAATTACCCAAAAAGATTCAAGAAAACTAACTTGCGATCGCAAACTTTGGTAACTTTTCCAGCTACCCAACTAGCTATAGTGTGTATGCATTATTCACATGAAGCCTAGCTGCACGCACTCCGTCAGCCTCGCTTCCCTTTTGGCGACCTGACCACCTCGTACACGCCGCTGATGCTGCCTTTCTTGGCGTGTGGCAGCGGCAGCGGCGGCGAGACGACCTTCTTTTTCTCCATGGACATCCTCATGCCGGCCGGGCCCGGGCGCGCATCCTCGCCGCTGCCTAAGGTTGGAAGCACATACCACCATATGGACGCGAGGCAGATGGCGAACACCCGCCCGAACACGACCAGGCTCACCAGCGTCAGCACGATGACGGACGGCCAGTAGCACGACGGCCGCCGCATCGTCCTCCCCCACGAGAACGACGCCTTCCTCGCCGGCACCTTGGTGGCGGCGACGACCTTGACAGTGGCACTGGAGCCCTTCCTCTCCCTCGGGCTGGCGGGATCCGGCGGACTGCCGGGTCCAGGTGAAGCAGCAGCCGGTGGTCGCAACAAAGGCGCGGCGGTCGACGCTGCCGCCGCCCTCGTCGGTTTCTTGGTGGTGGCGGCCTTCTTGTACGGCGGCGGCTCCTCGGGGAGCTTGACGACGACGGGCGTCCAGTCGCCGTTGGAGGACTGGACGAAGCGGACCAAGACGAGGCCGGTGTCGGAGCCGACGCGGCGCAGGATCTTGGCCCGCCGGGTCTCGAGCTCGGAGAGCACGACGGAGAACCTGTCCAGCCCGCGCTCCGCGTAGGGGTTGACCTTGCCGCCGTGCTTCCTCCTCTCCTTGTCCTTCTCCTTGGGCGATCCGCCAGTGCAACCGAGATCGTCCGGATCCTCGTCGACGTGCTTGAAACTGCCCGTGCCGCACTCGCAGAACATGGTGGTTGGCTGCTGGTCGATGATCGGCGTGTCGATGACTTTTCGAGTTGGGCGCCAGGCGGGCACGAGGGGATCCTCCGCTTTATAAGGGGGTGATTTGGAAATTGGAATGGTGATGGTGCTGTGGGAAGAGTGGAGAGTTGGTTAAACTGTTTTGGTCGCAGGTCAGGCAGAAGCTTCCACTGTTCACGACTGTAATAATCATGCCTAAAAGCTACTAGAAGAAAACTACTAGAGCAGTGAGTGCATGACTGTTCTTGGATGTAGATTTGTATGGTATGATTGCCCCTATCCGGATCAGATAAGTGAATGATTCAGCATCTACTTCCATAGAAATTAGATAAGATGAACAAAAAGGGAATAACATAAAACTCTAAGGGACAATTGCATTGTTGCCATCGTTTTCAACTCTAACTGCACGTTTGCCTTTATTTTTTAAGTTTGCATATTTGCCTCTACTTTTTTAATACAACGCTGTCGTTTGTCCTTGTTTCTCAAGTCCGTGAGCTGCTGATAAATAATGAATTAAAAAAATTGTTTGGAAAAAATGAAGGAAGGGGAAAAGACTATACTACCCCTCTCTTATCCAAAAGATGCAGTCCTCCTCTTCTCCTTTCAGCCTTTCTTCCGTGGCCGTGAGGAAATAGGGCCGGCTGTGCGGGGTCGGTGTGGCCAGCGGCGAGGCAGGCCGCAGGCAGCCGGCACACGCAGCAGTGGCGCGGGGGCGTGGGGGCGCAAGGCCTCTGCTGGCGGCATGGCGTACCGGGTAGGCGGCTCCGCAGGCCAGCGGCGCGGGGGCCTAGGCGGCCAGCGCAGGAAGCTCCGGCGCAGTGGCGTGGGGGCGTGCGGCCCTGCTAGCAGCGCGGCGTGGGGGGCTGGGCGGCCAGCGTGGCCCGGCGTAGCAGGCCGGTGGCACTGAGGCACGGAGAGCTGTAGACTGTCGGCGGCGTTGCGTTGCAGGCTTGCGAGGATGGCTGAAATGGATGATGAAATTCAAGGATGGCTTACAAAATATTACAATATTTACACAAAAGATTAAGTTGCGTGGATGGCTTGCAAATTATTATATTTTGATATTTACTAAAAGGGAGAATTGTTTGCTCGACATGCAAAGTGATGGTCATTTGCTGGCGGACACCCGTTTTGAGCAGTTTGCCAGAAGACACTCTGGTTCGGTGAAATTAGGCCACAGGACACCGAGAACCGGTTGCAGCCGGTTGAGGAGAGAGAAAATTTTATCTTGGACATCCAGTGCCCCTGAGCCACAGTTGGGTCCGCCCCTCTCCCTCTCACTGACATGCGGGCCCCACCTGTCATCTTCTTCTTCCTCGTCTTCTCCTCTTCCATTGCTGAGCAGCAGCCACCGCCGTCGACCTGCCATGGCCACGTAGGCACACGGACGAGCTGGCGAGCTGCCGCAGCCGTGGCCATGTGGGCTTGCGGGCGACCTGGCGAGCCTCTACCACGACCACGAGTGCCACGTGCGAGCAGCCGCCCTCGCTACTATAGCCGGCGATAGGAGCGCCGCGGTGTCCAACAGACAATTCTCCCTTACAAAAAATATGTGTTGTCATTCATGTCAAGGGCATTTGTGTCTTTTCAGCCTTCCCTTAACACCGTTAACTCTCCTTCATAGAATTGGAACAAGTGGAAGCTTCAGATTAAAAAAACAGGGGCAAATCCACAAAGTTAAAAAAAATAGAGGCAAAGGTGGAGTTAGAGTTGAAAACAAAGGCAGTAATGCAATTGACCCAAACTCTAATTGCCTTAATAAATTTGTAATTTTCTTAGCTGACCAACATCGACAGTTCGATCTACATTTAAAGTATACCATGTCTTACTTCAATCAAGTAATAAGAGCAACTCCACCGAATATCTTATACTCAATCAGTTCTAAATTATAAGTCGCTTTGATTTTTTTTTTGTTCATCTATTTTACTACGTATCTAGACATATTATTTATCTACATACATAACAAAGATAGATGTACCAAAAAAGTAAAAGCGACTTATAATTTAGAACGGAGGGAGTACTAAGTTATTTCAGCATATAGGTCGAGAGCACTGTTATACCTAAAATTTATCGGCTATATTTCTTTAGGAATAGGGGTGAAGTGGGTTCTCTTCTTTCTTTATGGGACACACGACTGCTTTTAGGAGATAGTATCTGCTGCAGGATCATCATATCATAAAATGATTAGTTTTTAAGATATATAGGATATTGGATAGGAGATATGGTTACTCTAATCATCAATCATTCCCATCGAGAGATCCCAACAAGAGGTTTGCCCTATAAGTATGTTGGATGTAAATTATAATTGGATTCATGTTTCAACATGCTTTCACATTGCTGGAGAAAAAAAAAATCTAGATAGATAAGAGAGGGCCCTTGACCTCGGCTAAAGATTATTAGAGGAGTAGATGGCAATTTTGTTTTAGTTCTTTTTTTTTGAGATTACATAACATTTGTTTTACTTCTAGATGGAATACTTTACAACCCTCGAATAGAGAGGGGGTGTTAGAGCATCTCCAAGAGTTTCCAAAAGCCACTCCCAATCTTAGTTTTTGGCATGATTGTCGACAAAATATCTTTAAAAACTCCTTATATCAACTGCCAATCTTTCAGCACTTGGGAAAATTGATCCAATCACACAGAAATATACCCGCATATATGCCAATCTAGAGGTCGAAGGACGTGCAGAAGAATAAGGAGTAAGGATAGGGTTTCTAATGCAAATGTACAAAAGAGAAAAATATAAAAGTGGTTGGGTAATTTTGGGAATAATTCAGGATTCTTGATGCAAAATTGTTTTCTACCTTTAGAAGTGATATTTTGAAGAACCAATAAATGTATTCCCAACTTTTTTAGATACATTGGAAACTCATTGATTTATCAATTGTTTTTTGGAACTACTGAAGATGCTCTTATTTATAGCCCCTTATTTTGTACAGGAATATCTAGGAGTATTCACATCATTTTTTATTTCTTCCAACACCCCCTCCCAATCGTTGACATCGCTGGAACGTCCTGACGTTAGCAGTGGAGTATTTTCGTACACTTCCGCTCTAGTAGACGTGGAGCCTATCAACACGTGTCATTCCCAGTACCATCGGAGGGATGTGTAGTCCTAGAGGTCGTCTGCTTTTGGACGGTTTACCTCCAGATGCAAGGTTTTCAAGAGAATTCCCTTCGTTACTCATTAGTAAGACCCGTGGTCCTTGCCTTGAAGGTTGGTTCCTTGTAGCCTCGCTCATAGTCTCACATATTTGCGATAGGTCCTCCAACATCCTCTCCAAAAGGTTCATATCTTGCATTGGTTCCTCCCAGAGAGCTTACATCCCCATGTTAGGAGTGATTTCCTTGTCATCGTTGGAGCGTCCTGGGCAGAGTATTTCCGTTCACTTTTTCAGTGATAGACGTGGAACCTATCAACCTGTGTGCTTTTGGACGGTTTGCCTCTAGAAGCGAGGTTTCCAAGAGGACTCCCTTTGTTAGCAAGACCTGTGGTCCTTGCCCTGAAGGCTGCTCCTTGTAGTCTCGACTCACAACCTCACACATTTACGAAAGGTCCTCCAACATCCTCTCCGAAGGTTCGTCCTGCATTGGTTCCTCCTAGAGACCTTACCTCCCCCATGTTAGTAGTGACTTCGAAACTCCATATGTATGTTCGATCGGATTCCGATGAACTTGTTTTGTTGGCTCATTCCTCTATGTGCCCTAGAGAGTTGGCGGTGGCTCACTTGTCGACTACAACACGTTGAATTAATGGTGAAAGAAGAACCTAAAAATTATCGGTGGATCAAGGAACTATTTAGCTTTAAGAATCAACTTATTACCTCCGTTCCAAACTGCAAGTTGTTCTGACTTTTCTAGATAAATAACTTTTACTATGCATTTAGATGTACATTATGTCTAGATGCATAGTAAAAGCTATGAATCTAGAAAAACCAAAACGACTTACAATTGAGAACGGAGAGAGTATAATTCTTCAAACTAAACAAGTGAGTTCAGTTTAGAGGTACCATTGAGGTATAATTATGCACTTTATTAACTTGATGACAGTCATTATAGGAAGAAACATAATTTGATTAAACTTGTATTTTAAGTGGATACACCTGTAACAAAATTGAGAGATTGTTTAGCTGCACTACAATCTATCCAAATCCACAAGGATTAGCATGTGGATTACTACCTCCGTTCTATTTTATCTGGCGCATACGCATATCAAGATTCAAACTTTAAAAACTTTGATAAATAATTAGGCTAATAATTTTTAACTATTATAATACAAACTTCATATGATTAGATTTGTAAATAATTATTCTATCCAATAATTATAAGTTTATAAGCATAAATAATATAATATAATATAAAGCAAGAATGGTCAAAGTGTAATCTAAGAGACCGTGTCATTATAACTTGCGCCAGATAAAATGGAACGGATGGAGTAAGTATGAATTTGAGTGCATTCATGTGTGTTGAACGGATTAAGGTGGATCCAAATAAAGGCGGTGTTCTTCTCCCCTCTGGCTCAATGAATCGAGGATTCGGCTCGTTACGCGCTGCACACCGCACCACAGCGTGTGCAAACCGAATTTCCAGCATTAGTTAACTTTCCCTTTCTGTGTTCAACTCATGCTGCCGTTTAAGTTTCCACGGCTCACTGCTCTGTTCAGCGCTTCTGACTTCCATGGTAGGAGTACGTACACACGTAGCAGGACCACCAACGATTGATCGATACTGTTCAACGGCCTGGGTCCCCAATATAACCTTAACGCAACGTTCTTGTCATTATTCAGATAGACTTCAGGTCATGAGAGCCGCGAGTCTAGACTGGCAGGGGGGAAAAAACGAGAGGGCGAAACGCAAAGAGGTAGATAGTTCGGCACGGCAGGGCAGGCTGCCGATCTAGAATGAATCAGCTTTTCAAGACTGTTAGTGGAGTTGGAGAACACGGTGGAAAAACGTTTTGGTTTAAACGTTTATCTGTTGATGAATAC